GTGAAAGTATGTACATATGTTAAATACAAATATATACATAAACATAAATATATACACGGAAAATATGGAAATCAGAAAAAAACCCTTTTAAATGGCTTTTGATGTAGAAAAGAATAACATTTTCCTAATGATTTTTCTGTGCATAGATGATTCTTTTCATGGATTTACACTCCCACATGTAAAGGTGCCTATTGAATAATGCTCTCATCAGTTTTAACTGATTGGTTAGTTTAAGGTATAAGCTCTATTCCTCATAATTTTGGCTTAGCATTTCTTCATGGAATGCTACACCAGGGGCAAGACAAACTAGTGGATCTTATGGGAACAAGAACCAATTTGTGGACTTGTACCCCTGTCATCAGGTAAATGTCATGGTAATGAGTTCAGTCAGATCTTGGGCAGGGGCTTGTTGCACCCTCAGAACAGGAAGCTCAGAATGGGCAAAGCCACAGGGATCTGCAGGGATGCCAAGAAGAGCCAGACTTAGGTGTCATGGGTAGTCCCTCTATGGATGAGGGTATTGTCTTTCAGGGTGGGCTTGTGATCATTAAGGTTGGGAAGGTGATGTGCTGTAGTTCTGTATACTGTTATGATATTTGAAAAAGAAATTTCTCTTACCATGTGCATGCATTACTCTTTCAGTGAAAAATTGGTTTTTGAAAAGGGAAAACAAGGAAAGTTTCATTCCTTTGATTACTTATAAGATTGTATGTTTTTCATGTGTTGCTCCCTGGCTATATTTCCTTTTACCTTACCTATTTGCTAGAAAGTTTGTGGTAAGTTTTAGTTAATTTTATAATGTTTTTGTTAATTTTTTGTTGTATTTCTACTTCATTTCTGTATTTCATCCATTTATTATCTGACAAATATTTCAATGTATATATTTTTATTGACTTTTTGTGCATTCATAAAGTATCTCTTAATCATATTTAAACACCCATAAACTGACAGTTTTTTCTCTTTTTTTTTTTGGTCTTTTTGAGACAGGGTCTCTCTGTAGCCCCAGCTGTCCTAGAACTCACTATGTAGACCAGGCTGGCCTTGAACTCACAGAGATCCGCCTGCCTCTGCCTCCCAAGTGCTGGGATTAAAGGCATGCGCTACCACACCCAGCAAACTGACAGTTTTTATGTAAAAATTCTTTGAGAAATTCATACATGGATACAATGTTTTTTAAATGTATTCACCATTCATCCCCCCCAACTTCTCTTAACTGACAGTGTTATCATAAAATTATTTTTGTAGGAGAAAATGCTTCCTTTTAGATGTCATTGCCCTTTATCATTAGACAGTGATGATTCTAGGTCTCTCATATATTTTCTTCTTTAATTTCCCCAAAGGTAGGAACTAGTGGTACATTGTTTCCCAGCTTTTCCCAGTAATGATGTCCTTTTTCATGCCTGAATTTGCTTCAGTATGGTTTAATACTATGGTTTTGAGTAACCTCTGCTGAATTGAGGCTGAGCTTGACCTTGGAAAATGTTGTGAGTCATTATCTCATATATGGAAGGGAGCGCCAATAAAGAGCTGAGGACTGACTGGGCCTGTTTCTATCTGTGGGGCCACTGATTTGGGTGAAGTGTATATAAAAGAGAAACACGGGAAGGTTGAGAGTTATCCCTCTCAAAGGCTGGAGTATCCCTCATGTCAGACAGCTGGGGTGGAGGAATGAGAGTAGGGAAAGAGAATTCCCATTCCCATTCCCATGAAATGGGTCATGACAGCTAACACATGCACTGACTGGTTAGAAGCTAATATTTTAGTGGACTAAACTAGGGGAAAGTAGGCAGATTTACATTCTATACAATCTTGTTCTCTATACTTGAATCAGTAGTTATTCAACTCACTAGTTACCTTGTCTCTAAAGAACTGACATAACCCTTTCTCTGAGTTGCTTCACATGTATTTTAGTGAGAATGAGTTAACTTTCTGTTATAAACTACTAGCTAATACTTTGGCTATTTTCTTTGGTTTTATTTGATCACTTCCTCCCATTGAATTTTTTGATTTCTCGTTTTGGAATCTCTTTCCTAATCTCATTGCTTTGTTAGTATGTTGTGTCCTGTGCCTCCTCTTTGTGGCAATCCTCATTTCAGATGTCTTCCTTCATGTATCAGAAAAAAAACAAAACAAAACAAAACAAAACCCCAAAAAACAACTAGAGTAAGAGCCTTGTGAGTGGAGATACATTGATTATTCCCTTCTTTGTAAGGAGTCCTGATCATTTATGCTGCTGCTTCCTTCCCTAAAGAAACTTAGGGCATTTTTCTGCATTTCCTGCTCAAGAGAATAGAAAGTCTAGTGTTCTGTAGTCTAGACTGGTTTTTAGAAATATGTCTTGGTCTTCAGGAAACTTAGTTTTAAAGAGTGACTAAAATGTTTTGTGTTTTCCATTTACCCTTTAAGATAAAGTGATTCAAGCAACACATTACTTAATAAAAGTGGTTATGTAGCCATAGGAGAGGAAGTTTAAATTAAAAAATATTTTTTTCATTAATGTGTATGTGTGTGTGAGCCTATGTGAGCTGACATATACCATATGCATGCAGGAGCCCATGGAGGCCAGAAGAAAGTGTCACATCCTTTGAAACTGGAGTTACTGGCAGTTGGAATCTGCTATGTGGGTGCTGGGAACTGAACCTGGGTCCTCTGTAAGAGCAGTAAGTGCTCTTAACTGCATAGCCATCTGTCTAGCCCCAGGAGAAGAATTTTTATCTTGTTAAGCATATCTTAGCCTGCCTTGATAGGAGTGTTTTTCAGAAAGGTGTGCTTGAACTGCCAACAAGGTCAGAGGCATTTCTAGGTATTGGGAGATTGTGTTTTAAAAGAAAAGAGGTATTGGTTGGCATGTCTATACTGTTCATTTAACAATTAGGTTGAATCACTTGAAATGAATTTAAATTGGAAAGAAATGTTTGCCAGATATGTTTTTGTGTTTGTGATTGTGATTTGTGTGTGCATGTGTGTGTGTGTGTGTGTGTGTGTGTGTGTGTGTGTAGGCTTGAAGCTTGCCAAACACTGAAGAGAAGGGTAGGATTTTAAAAATATAACTTAAGGTAACTAAAAGGCTTTTCTTTTTGCTCTAGTTGCACAGGAAGGGCTGGGAAAGAATACTTGACCAAGAAGTAGAAAATCATCTTTCCTATTTATAAATGTTTAATGATCTCTGAAGGAAACACATAGCAAGCTATATAATGATCCATTTTCAGTTCTGTCCTATGTTCTTATACCCTGTTATATTTTGAAGGAGTTTTTGAATAGCTCAGAAGGAATTTCAGGCTGTCAAGATCAAGAGGCTTGCTGTGGAGGACTTTGTGCTCTTCTGACCAAATCACTTTTAGATCCAGATTTCCTCATATTCAATGTGTGATGCTCAAGTGCTTGCTTTTTTTCTGCTTGCCAAGTGTTTATATGAGCATCTCTTTAGGCCTTTCCTTCCTATCAATGAAGAAATGCCTAGTACCTTCTCCACTGTCATTCAGCTCTTATAAATCAACAAACATATGCTGTAGAGCAAAGTACCATTGCCCCTGGGTATATGTGGGGAATTGGTTCCAAGAGATGCCATGGATATCAAAATATGCTAGTGCTCCACATGGTGTGGTATTTGTAGTAATCTGCTCACATTATCTTTGAATTGCTTAGAATACCTGACATAATAGGAATACTATGTAAATAATTATGTTCTATTGTTTAGAGAACAACGGACAAGGAAAACTACCACTTTGGGACAGACGAAATTTTTTTCCCTTTAAATGTTTTGAATCTGCAATTGGTTCAGTCTGTGAATGTTGAAACCATGGATGTGGAGGGTATTGGTCTTTTCTTTAAAAAATATTTTACTTATTATTTCTATTTTATATGTATGAATGTAAAACCTGCATGTATGTAAGTACACCTGTGTCATGAAATGCTCATGGAGGTCAGAAGAGGGCATAACATACCCTGGAACTGGAGTTGCAGATGGTTGTTAGCCACCATGTGGGTGCTGGGAACCAAACCCAGATCCTCTGCAAGAGCAGCCAGTGCTCTTAACCACTGAGCCATCTCTCCAACCCTAAAGTTTCCTTTTTATGAATATGTTCTGTTATTTTCTGTTTGTTTTCTTTAGATAGATGCCATGCTTAGTTTGTCTTTAAGGGACTATAGTAGTGCAATGGTTCTAAAAGTGGGTCCGTAGATCCCTAGGAATGCTTCAGAAATCTGTGAAGTCAAACTGTTTTGAGAATCATATGCAAACGTTGTCTCCATCTCCTTTCATTGTGCTGATGTTCCCACTTACACTGCAGAAGCATTGGTGGCAGCACTGATATCTTGGCATTAATCAAGGAAGGCAGTAGCATCAACTGTACGAACAGTCATTATAGCCTTCACTGCTAAAGTCTCGGTGTAGAAAAGACTTGGCTTGTTTTCTTCAGCCCAGGCCAGTGGCTGATGCATAACAGGTATCAACACTCAGTACATACTACAGAAAGGAAGAACGAGTTCTGTACACTTACCAGATCTCTCATTTCCTTCTTTTTTGTGTTCTTCTCCAAACCTTACATTTCCTAGTTGTATTTCTCCTTCTGTCTACTCCATTTCTCTCTTTTTCTAGATTGAAGCATTATTGTGTTTATATTTCTGTGAAGTTCTGTTGTTTGTAGTGTTTGTTTACGTCTGGTGTTACAGATGCAGATGATCTGTGGATGTCAAATTCAGTTACTTTTACATATAATGTTAGTTTAGTTGGTGATTGCAAAAAATAAAATAAAATTATAAAAGAACAGCAAATCCAGTGTTCAGGGCTGAAGTCCTAGTCTTTTAGGTGATTTAGATATCTTATTTTTCTACTGCTCCACTTTACTGTTCATTTTCTGCCTTGTCTCTGAGTTCATCGCCCATCAGGAATAATATGTTGCTTAGACTTTTATTGCTTCTTTCCTCTTCTTTGATGTGAGGTTATGACGAGGGATTTGTATGAAAATTATTTCTCACAGATCCTTATTTTGACTTTGCAGAACCTTGCCTCCTGGAATCCTTCAAACCCTGAGTGCCTCTTGCTCGTGGTGAGGGAACTTGTGCAGCAGTACCACCAGTTTCAATGCAGCCGCCTCCGTGAGAGCTCACGCCTCATGTTTGAGTACCAGACGCTCCTGGAAGAGCCACAGTATGGAGAGAACATGGAAATTTATGCTGGGAAGAAAAACAACTGGGTAAGTGTTTAGAGATGGGGGAAAGTTACTTCATCTGTAATGAAATTAAAAAGAAAACAAGATGTCCATTTATGAAGCTGTAGTGATTTCTTTAGATAGACATGGTATAGGTCGCCAGTATACTTCCTCACAATTTAGAGGGTGAAGGACTTTAATGAGTATGTAGTTTATTGTTTGTAAAAAAAATATCCGGAAAGTGTCAAATTCAGTCCCATTCTCAGTCTCCTATATTCAGATGTCAGGGAGAGAGCCTGAGGTTGCCTGTGTTCTAAGCCTCCAGTGGGCTCTGATGCAGATGCCTGGTGTGCCAGTGTGAGGTACTGACAAATTCCACCTCCCTTTTAGGGAGTGAGTGACTTCTCCAGGGTCTTAGTCAGATAGAGAGGTCAACTGCTTTAGATGCAGCTGATTCTGTGCAAAGTATATCCACCCCCTTGCCTTTATTTAAAGACAGGGTCTTGTTAGGTAGCCCAGAGTGGACTAAAACATGCTGCATAGCCCAGATTGGCCTCAAATGAACAATCCTTTCATCTCTACTTCCAGAATGCTGGAATGATAAGTGTGGCCACCATGCCTGACTATACCTGCTTTTTTTTTTGAGACAGGGTCTCCTTGTAGCCCCAGCGGTCCTGGAACTCACTATGTAGACCAGGCTGGCCTCGAACTCACAAAGATCCACCAGCCTCTGCCTCCCAAGTGCTGGGATTAAAGGCATGCGCCACCACGCCCGGCTTATACCTGCTTTTTAAATAATTTCCTTACATTGTATAAGCCTTTTGAAATGCAAATCAGATTATAACCCTCCTTTGCCCAGAAATTTCATATTTTTTCCTCTTACAGCAAAAGCCCCAATCTTTCCAGTGGTAACATAAACTCTGTGGTTACTGTTATGCCGTCCTCTGTCCTTCAGGGTCTGCTACTCCCTCTCCTGCATTCAGTCATACCAGGCTTCAGCTGCAGGGGCCCTTGCTGTGCTACGGGCCCTCCAGGCATGCCCCGTCCTAGGCTCTTGGCTTAAATTTATGTTGCCTGGTTGTTTCCTCTGAGAGTAACATGACTAACACCCCTAATATACTGTCAACTGATAGGCTTTCTGTGGTGTTCTATGAACTGCCCCGATTTTTAAAAAGACCAACTTTTTTTGGATTATGTTTTAAATAAATTTACCTGTTTTAAAAAATATTTATTTTTATTTTATTTTATGTATATGACTGTTTTATCTACATGCAAGTGAACCACATGCATGCAATGTCCCCAGAGGCCAGAAGAGGGCTTCAGATCTCCTGGAACTGGAGTTACAGGTGGTTGTGAGCCATCATGTGGGTGCTGGCAATCAAACCTGGATCCTCTGCAAGAGCAGCTAGTGCTCTTAACTGCTGAGCCATCTCTCCAGCCCCAGTTCACCAGTTTTAATTATAGAATTTCATGATTCTCAGTAAATTGGCTGATTTGAGCAACTGCCACCATGATCTAGTTTAGAATGGTTCTGCCACCCCAGTAAGATTCCTCACCCCTAATTACCATTAGTTCTTTTCCTACCTGTATCCCTAGGTAACCATGAAACCACTTTCTGTTTCTGTAGATTTTCATTCTGAACATTTTGGATGTTCGTGATACATGACTGGTGGTATGACTGGTGATCTCATTTAGCATAATATATTTGCTATCTATTCATGTTGTACCATATACCAGAACTCTGTTTATTTTTATGGCTAAATAATATTCCACTCGACAGACATACCACATTTTGTTTGTCTAGTCTCTAATTATTGATATTTCAGTTTTTCTTTACTTTTCTTATGAATAATGCTATTGTAAATATTAATAAGTCTATATTATATTGTCCTTAAAATTAAAATTCTCTTTTGTATTCTCTTTCCCAACCTTTATTTTGCTCTTCCTTTTTAAAAAAGGAATCTCTTTCATATATTAGTTATGCCGGAGCATAAAATATTCATTTCAGCATTCAGTCTCTTAATAATGCTTGCTATCATACCTTAGATTGCTGGGAATCTGGGCAGAACAGCTAACTCACGGTTCCTCCTAGGCTGCTCTGAGGTGCTGGTCAGTGCTTTGGTCACCTCAGGATTCCACGGGAGAGAGACTCATTATAGGTCCATTTGTGTGGCTGCTGGCACAGCAGTTCTTCGTGGGCTGTTGAACTGAGAGCTTGGTTGGTGCTAGTTGGCACCTGGAAGCTGCCCTCAGTTCCTTATGTCTTCCTCCATAGGGCCTCACCACAAGGCTTCTAATAAAATGGCAGTTGGCTTAACCAGAGAAACAGAAGAGATTGAGAGGGAACACGTGAGCAAGAAGTAAGCCTTTCACAACTTGCTCTCCTGGAAATGGCATCCCATCACTTTTGCTCTAGTCTGTCTATGAGATGTAGCCCGAACACGAGGGAGGGGTTATACATGTAAGTGTGAGTGCTGATATGGCTGTGTACACTTGTGGAAGCCTGCCATGCTACTGTACTCATTTATATTTCCCTATTGGAATATAAAATTCATATCATCTTCATTGACATACCCCAGACACCCAGAACTGTGCCCATCACATCATTGATGTTCTGCAAACATTTGTTGAATGAGTGAATGAATGAATACACTCTAGGTAAGTATAGAATAAGCTTAGGCATTCTTTTCTTGTTCATTCTTTTAGATTTAGCCCAGTCTTAAATATTTCAGCACTTTACTAAGGGATATAACTTCTAAAGTCTTAGATGTAATTAATAGTTTTACATTTGGATTACTTCAATTTTTGTTACAAGTCTTCCTATTTAAATATATGGAACAGTTCAAGATTTTTTCTGTTTCTGTTTTACTTTTTCCATTATTGTTATTTTGTGTGTGCATGCTTGTTTGCCATCGTGTGCATATGCAGGTCAGAGGAAAACTTGCAAGGGTTGAATGTGTGTGTGTGTGTGTGTGTGTGTGTGTGTGTGTGTGTGTGTGTAAAATTGGGGTTGCCAGATTATAGGATAATTCTGTTTTTAATTTGTTAAGGAAGTTGCATACTTTTTTCAATAATGGATGCAGCATTTTACATCTCTACCAATAATGCGTGTAGTTCAAAGTTTGAAGCTATTGAGTATTGATTCACATGGCTAGTAAGATGAATGTAGTTTATTTGCTGTCCCAGAGCTTTTCTTATTAAATGATATACTTAATTTTCCTCGCAAAAGGATGTGAGGTTAATTTATCATGACTTCTTGGTAAGCCTGTGCTATCTTTAGTGCTGGAATAGGAATGATTGTCCAATTGTAGTTTTTGAATTTTACTTCCCCTTTCACTCTCCTCTGTGTACACTCGTGTGTGTGTGTGTGTGTGTGTGTGTGTGTTTGTGTGTGTTCTCCTTCATTTGTGTGTGTGCATGTTCATGTGTCTGCAGGTGTATTTGTGGGTGGGTGCATAGAGAGGCCAGAGGACAAACTTGGGTATTGCTCTCAAGTGCTGTTTTTTGAAACAGGGTCTCTCACTGGCCTGGAATTCACCAACTAGACTAGGCTGGCTGGCTATTAAGCCCCAGGTATCTGCTTGTCTCTTCCTCCCCAGCACTGGGATTACAAACACTTTGTATTCCTGTGCATATTTACTTTTTTATTTTGGTTCTGAGGATTAAATTGCAAGCACTTTGGCAACTGAGCTACCTCTCCTACCCCTCTTTTAATATCAAGCCTGAATTTAAATATAATTTCGTTTTATGGCACATTTTGTGACTGAAGAATTTTTACAATTTTTTGAGTTATTCTTCATCTAAATGTTGAAGTTCAAATCCATTTAAAGGAGATAATTTGTATTGGTAGTATTTTGAAATCTTTGTGCTTAATGTTACTGACTTTTTGGGGCTGGAGAGATGACTCAGAGGTTAAAAACACGGGCTGTTCTTGTAGAGGATCTAGGTTTGGTTCCCACCACCCACATGGCGGCTATCCATAACTCCAGTTCCAGAGGATCTGATGCCCTCTTCTGACCTCCACGGGTATTGCACAAGCTGCATGCATTTACACAGATACAGGCAGTACACTCATAAACATAAACATAAAAATAATAAATAAAATATTTTAAGAAATGTTACTGACTTTCCTTTATTGGCAAAATACACGGTATAATGCTATATATAGCATATATAAATGAACATAAACTATATAAAGTATAATGCTATATCCTAGTTTATTTTAATATTTAAGTAATTTTGGTATTTAATACTGAGTAATTTGTAAATATTAAGTCAAGTAAAACAATAAAACCTTGAGACTCAAGGCTAGGTAGACAGTCAAATGTTAAGCTTACAGGAGATGAGGCCTCATGACTTGTAGGACTGGGAGCTGAGATAATAGAACCAGTAAGAGCTAGTGTATGAAGGTGAATCCTGAGGGACAAACAAATGAGAGCTTGGCACCAGGGCTAGGAATATGCTAAAGGACCATTGCTAATGGAACCAGCTCCAGACCAGGAATCTGGAAGATCCACACAGGACCCTGCAAGACACAAACAACCTTGATTTTGATCCAAAATGTTTTAAATCAAAGACTGTATTAGTTTGCTATTGTTGCTATAAAAATTACTGTGATCTAGGTAGCTTGAGACAACCCAGAAGCATTATTTCATAGTTGTAGAGGTCAGTAGTGCAGAATGGGGCTCCCTGGCTAAGATCACGATACTGGCTAGCCTGCATGCTTTGAGGAGGGTCATGGGGAGGAACTGGTGGGTACTCAGAGACATTTCTTTGAGAAATCATCCAGAAACAGAAACATCCTAGATGACTAATAAGAAAAGACATCTTGAAGGTTTTATATTACTTCATATCTTTGAGTAGATGTTTTCAGACTTTTAAACAGCAATGCAGTAGTCAGTTGAAACAACCGGATAGCCAACAAACTACCATCATAAATTTATTTTACTCTTTTTTTTCTTGTTTTTCCCTCTCCCCAACCTTTTCCTTTTGCCTATGTATGTGGCATGCATGTATGAGTGTATGAACATGTGTGTTCGTATGCATGTGGAAGACAGAGGTTGATGTGGGATGTCTTCATCAATTGCTCTCCACCTTGTATATTGAGGCAGGGTGGGTGTACATGGTGTGTGTGTCTGTGTGTGTTTGAGGGTCATGAAACTAGAAAGGGGATCATAGAGAGGAACAAGAATTCTTAAAAATGTAGGGGATACAGAGGGTAATGTAATGTGGTAAGAAAGCAAAAGGAGTCTATAAGGGAAGCAAAAGAACCAGCTGGAGGGGGCAGGCAACACAGGGGAGGGCGGGCACTAGGGGAGGAGATAAATTAGGACTGAGGATAATGGCACATGTGAATGAAGATGCCATGATGGGGCCTATTTCTTTGTTTCCTGACCTAAAATATTAATAAATAATAAAGTATCTAGAACTATGCTATATACCACAGAAGCCTCCAGCCATACCTGTGACTATTGAACACTCCACATGTGGCCAGGCCTGTGTGTACATGTAAAGTATACATGGAGCTTGAAGAATTGAAATGCAAAACAAAGCATAAAAACACTAACCTGGGGGGCTGGAGAGATGGGTCAGCGGTTAAGAACACTTCTTGTTCTTGCAGAAGATCTGGGTTTGAATCCCAACACCCAGATGGCAGCTAACAACTGTCCGAAACTCCAGCTCCAGGGGATCCAACAGCCACTTCTGTCCTCTGTGGGCCTTGCACGACACGGGTGCACTTACCTACATGTAGGCAATACATGCATACACATAAAATAAAAATAAAAAATAATAAATAAAGTATTAAAAAAACCCCACTAACCTGAATAATTTTTTTTATTTTGATCCCAAGTAGAAATTCTAGTATTTTAGATAATTGTGGGTATGTTTTAACTGCTTATTTCACCTCTTTCATTTTGCTGTGTTAAATAGTGGCTATGAGAAATTACATATGTGACTGGCATTTGTGCTTTTGGACATAATTCCTCTAGAATAGTTGGAGATTAAGAGTGTGAATACTGAGAAGAAAAACATATCTGGAGGGTTTGGGACTATATGGCCTTGCCCTGTGGGCCAGGGGTGTTAGATGCTCTGCTGATGTCAGTAAGCCACATATAGCTGGGCCTCTTTCATTGAGCTGTTCAGTAATTTCATTTGACTTGGGCTTACACATTGACTTGGGGATGTAACCCTTTGATAAGTGTGTAGTGTCAGGGAGGGCAGTAAGTATAGTCCCAGGAATTGACCAGAATTGTTTGTTTTTAATTACATGGAACTCTTGGAAGTTGAGTGTTATTTAAGATAGATAAACCTATGATAGAGGCTCTTTTCTTGTTTTTTAAAAAACTTATTATTGTGTGTCTATATGATGTGGGGGGGTATGAGTCCGTGGTATGCATGTGAAGAGGCAACTTTGTGTGGCATCAGTTTTCTCCTTCCACCTCTATGTGCATTCCAGGGATCAAACTCGGGTTGTCAGGCTTGTATGCAAGTGCCCTCAACCCCCGCCACCTGGCCTGTTCCCCCTATGCCACCTTGCCTGATGCAAACTCTTTTTAAAAATTTATTTTGAGACAAGATCTTGCTGGTTTTCCAAAGCTGGTCTTGAACTCTCTGGGAAGCCTAAGGACACCTTAAAATTTGTCACCTTCATGCTGCATCCTCCCAGGTAGCTGGAATTACAGACAGGTAACACCATGTCTGGCTTCCATGAACTCTTTTGACTTGTTGTTTCAGGTTTCCTAAAAGAAATGAGCTCTAAACTCTATATGAGTCATGTCTTCTTGACATTTCCTCTCAGAGCATGTTGCTAAAATTCATTGGGTATGTGTACATATATATAAACAGCACTTACTCCCTCCTCCCTTGGTCCCCAATGACAAACTGAAATACAATTTCACTAAACTGCACTCTGGGGAACCAGTGAGTTTATTGGGCTTACTTACAGAGCAAAAGGTAAGGATTTACTTATAGGAGTGTGGGTGTTCCCCATGTAAGGCCACACCAGAAAGTCTTCGTCCAAGCATGGATGGTGGCTTTCCCATAGTTATACAAAATGGCAAGAGAGCACCTCCTCTACTCTTCCCCAGCCTATATTCTCTGGCCCCTCCCCCAGACCATGTGAAATTAGAGACTAATCACTAATCATGGGCTGGGAAGTATGGCTGGACTCTCAGGTGAAGGTCTTATGCCTCTCCCTTCTATAAGGAGGTGAGAATGTCAACGAATCCAACTGTGCTGATCTTAGGCAAGTAGGCACAACTGAGTTCAAAAAGATGGCATGTGCGTGTGTGTGTGTGTGTGTGTGTGTGTGTGTGTGTGTGTGTGCGTGCATCCATGGAAGTCAGAAGAGGGCTCTTACCTGACGAGTCATCTCTCCAAGCTCATTCTGACCCATTTTAGACTCTTAATTCATAGCCAAGAGTGAGTGATGCATCTTGGGTCTTGAGGTTGAGCACCATGGCTCTTCTTCTCCATGGTTCTTGTTACTTTCTCAGTAACAAGATTGACTCTTTTGGCTTCTGTTTTCCCAGTTTAAAAATAGATATAAAAGAGTTATATTTAGGGGCTGGAGAGATGGCTCAGCGGTTAAGAACACTGGTTGTTCTTGCAGAAGACCCGGGTTCGAATCCCAGCACCCACATGGCAGCTAACAACTGTCCATAACTCCAGTCTCGGAGATCTGACAGCCTATTCTGACTTCTGCGGGCACTGCACTACATGAGTGCACTTACCTACATGCAGGCAATGTAGGCATACACATAAAATAAAAATAATAAAATAAAAAAGTTATATCTATTGAACATGATTTTGAGGATAAATAATATAGCTTAAAACATTTTTAGAGTATGATATTCTAATTACACTATCTTTGGCTTTTCTTTACATGAATTGTATGTTTATATACTTGCCAAGGAACAATCTGCACACTTTAGGCTTATTGTCATTTTGAAGAGTCACCCTTACCAGATTGTCACCCAGATCAAGTTAGAGTCACCCTTTGCAGTTTCCTAACCTTTATCTTTTCTGAGTGGTAGCAGTCAATTTCAGATGAAAGCTTGTTTGTTGACAAGAGAAATGTCTCTAAGAAAGGAAGGAGGATCTCCAGTAACAACAGCACAAGATTTCTGCCTGTCACTTCCCAAAGAAGAAGAGAACTCTGCACGGCTGAAACTGAGGAGAAAAGCTCAGGCCTAGATTTTGTCAGTTGAAATCTGCTTGCCAACAAACTCTAAGTCAAAGCGAGAAGCATACCCATATTTATGGCTAATGTTGGGGAGAATGCCATTAAGACAATTGGCAGAAACACTGATATTTTCACAGTTGTAGGTCAGGTAATTTTCTGCATCTTTCCAAAAGAAGATTTGACCAAGTGCTGGCAAAAAAATACCAATGATTCTGTTTACTTGGCTGCATCTAAATGTCTCATTTACAGCTTATGGAAAGATTGCTGTAGAATTATTCTTCAACCATACAACAAAGTGACTCTAAATTGCTTGAATAACTGTTAGAAATTCAAATATAAAGACACACACAGTGATTGTCTAAGGTAGAACAAGGATTTTTTTTTTAACTTGTCCTTTCCTCCTGTGAGTTGAGTGTTAGTAATTTCAGTTGAACATGAAGATGTGCTTTAAACTGCCATTTGGTGAGTTTGACAAAGGAAGATTAGTTTACAGATCATAAAGAGAGTCAGTGACTGCTGAAAACTCAATTCTTGAGCCTTAGTTCCCAGCATTTCCAGTGCTCTAGAGAAGAGTGTTGAATTCTCTTCATTCTTTTTTGTCTTTAGTATGTTTTTGTGATTCTGGGAGTTGAACCCGGGCCTTCTACATTTTAGGAAAACTCCTTGCCACTGAACTACATCTCCAGCCTGAGTTTTCTTTACTCCTTCAAGGACAAATAAAGAGAGTACAGTAGGTGCTGGATCTGGCAGCACATGTAGTGAAGGTGGAGCTACTGGAAGATTAGTATGGCTCCTGCACAAGGATGGCGTGCGAATTCAAGAAGCATTCCATATTTTTAAATGCCACAGTGAAACCCATTAGTTTGGATAATTAATATGTGCTGATAAAATATTTTTTAGAAATGAAAGTATGGTAGGCTTGGAAGTTGGGGATCGTAAATAACTTTTTCTGTTTCCCAGTAGAACAAATTCCCTTGTCATAAGTTTCTTTTTTTCTGACTTTATTTTCTTCCATTAGCCCATCGCTGATAAACTCAAATTTATATTGGTACTGGGACCAACATTTCTTTTATCATTTCTTTAGTTGTTTGAATCAATTCCTTGCCAACAGACACAAATTTATATTAGTTCTAGGATTAACATTTTGAGAAAGGGTAAAGTAGGAAATCATTGGAGAGTTTTTAAAAAAATGTTTGGTCTAAAATAGCTGGTAGAATGAAAACATATTGTACAAACTAAAACAGGGCAAGAAAGCTAAAATGTAGTTGTGGACTAAAATAACTAGCAGTTCAGATGAGTCCAAGTGCTAAATATGTAATAATTATTTTTTTCTTTCACCTTATATGGATAAAAGTTCTTATAACTTTTAAAATCCCACATTTCCATTTTGTTCTTTTTTTCAATTATGTATACGTGTATACAAATGTATACATATATGCACAAGCCATCTGGTTTAACAAACTAAAGGTCTTGAAATTACCATTTTAATCTACAGATTAACATTTTGCATTAATAGGTAGAAATGGCTGTTTAATAACTGATAGGTAACGATAAATTTTTCATTGAAAATGAAAAAGAAATGAAGTACGTTTCTTACCTCTTCGACTCTTTCCCCCAATTTCTTGGAATCCCTTGGTACTTTTTAAAGTTTTTTCTTGGTATCTGCTCAGATGACTTAACAGATGTTCTATACTTGTAGTAACCATATTAGTGTTCATTGATTTTATGGAGTATTGTGCATCCCATAAATTAGAAATTTCCCACCTGTGGAGAAGAGTTTCTTGGGTCCTTTGATCGGTGTTCCTGCTGATTTCCTCTAGTAATTGAACTTCTTGCTCTGCCCCAAGCACATAGGCAGAGTCCTGCATCGACTCTTCCATGCTTGATGTTGTGGACATTTTGCTTCCTCACTTCTATTACATCATTGCTCAATTGCTCCTTTGTTTGCTTACTATGTAAAGGACATGAATTTCCATAGTTTGAGGATTTTAAACAATGAACATCATGATCTGACCAGTGTGTTGAGAGAATCACTTTGTTGTTGGGAAGGAAATAAATAGCAGCTGAAAAAGGTGGGAAGTAGTCAAGGAAACTGCAGTTGTCCAGCCTAGAGATAATGGTAGCTCTGGCCATGTGATAGTGGAGGGGAGAAGTGGCTGGACTCAGGATTTTTTTCATAGGTGGAATCAATAGTATTTGTTTTTTTTCTTTGATTGTAGGGTGAGAAAGAAGGGTAGAAAGGGGGGATGATTGTGGAATTTTTTGATCTAACAGGATGATAGAGTAGAATTTCCCTGTACTGCAATGAGGAATAAATATTGAGGAAAAGCGCACAAAATCTGGACTTTTTATGGTATTGGATAAATGAACTTTGAATTAGGAAAGCATCTGGAATGGAGATAGAACATTTGGGAGCCATTGGCATATAAATGTTATTTAAAGTCATGAGGCTCTATGAGATATGCTGGAGAATGTAGTATAGAAAAGAGGCCTTAGAGTTAAACCAGGTACATCATATACTTCAGTGTTTCAGGGCTGAGGAGAGTAGTCTTGGGGGGGGGGTCACAAATAGAGTGGAGAAGATCTGGAATGGGGATTCTAGAAGCCAAGTAAATCATGTTCCAGGAAACATGGGATCAGCCCTGCTAAAGTGCTGCTGATGTAACACTAAGGTGAAGACAGAAGTGACCATTGGGTTTGGCAAGGGAAAGTCCTTGGTGATCTTGTGAGAGCTTCTTTGGTGCAGTGGTGGGCAAGAAAGGCTGACTAGAGAGAAAGACAAAAGAGGAAATGGAGACCTCAAATATGGATGATTTTGTAATGTAGGACATATATGAGATGGGAGCTAGAGAAGGAGGTGAATCAAAGAAGACTCATGTTGAAATGATGCTTGCATGCTCATGGGAGTGAGTAGAGAAGCAACACTGATGTGGTAGCAGAAAGAAAGGAGGACCAGTTTTGGGGAACACCAATTCTTTGTTGAGCACTATACACAACCCAGGGAAGACTTTTCTGTTTTGTTTCTACCCTGGCAACTCCCAGGGGGTTTCTTATAAACTTCCATTTAACACCATACAATTAGATGTTAGCACTATACTTCCTTCCTTCAAAGTATGATCCCCCTTCCTCCAAGAGTCCCAGCTATGTCTTGATCTAAAGAACCATGTGGGTGTGTTAGCTTTAGAGTCTTCTGGGAGCTAAATCTAACACCAGAACTTCTCCATGTCTTCTGGAGATCTTAGATTGTAACGGAAGGGAAGAGTTCTACTAGGAGCTCATCGGCCTTTCACCAGCCGCAATGAACTGTTTATAGATCACATGTGACCCTTTAATATTCTCCCCAGTGCTGGTTTGTGAGTGGCTGTGAGAATCAGGCCTGTATCTCACCATTGGGATTCCTGGTATACAGCATTTTTGTCTATCTCACATGACTCAGCTTTGAGTTGTGCTACTGCTTGCTTCTCCGTTTTCTTTTTTCGTTTCTAGACAGGGTGTCCCTGTAGCCCCAGCTGGCCTGGAACTTACTATGTAGACCAGGCTGGCTTTGAACTCACAGAGCTCTACCTGCCTCTGCCTCCCAAGTGCTTGGATTAAAGGTGTGCACTACCACACCCAGCCTATGTTTCTCCCTTTTCTATCTCAAGGTTAGGCTTGTGGTGATGGAGAAATGTTTCATCCTTAGCTGGAAGTTGATGCAAGTTAAAAGATGTTGTAAGTGGCAAAACAAACTGAACTCAGCAGAGGTTTAGTTATTATTATTTTTGAGCTCAACACTTATGTTTCTGTCTCCATTTTCAAAATTTTAAGTCATAGTATTTTAATGAGGTCCAGAACCCTGAGCCAATTACTAGTGTATTTGTAGAAGGGAGTGGTGACACCTGTGGAATCATCTGTAAAAGGTGTGCATGACTTGTGTGTGGCTTATCCGCTTATCCCTACAAATTATTTGGAACTGTTTTGCTATGCTTAAAACTGTGATTTGGGAATTTAGTGATTGAATTTTTAAAGGGTTGGAAGGCAGAGAAGATACTGGGAGCACTGAGGTTATCACAGTGTGAAAGGATAGAGAGCCATTCTTTAGAGTAGTTTTGGAACATCCTTGTGTTCTTTAGTCAAGCATGTCATGTTGAAATTTACTATGTCAGAATCCCCAGCTGAGCTACATGCTTGCAGTGACAGAAGGTAGAAGACCCTGAATCCCACCAGCTCAACACATAGCTTTTCAGCCTTTGAAAGAGGGTCTTTGGAATCCCTAGGTCACTACATAATCACTACAAAAAGTGCTTGCCTGGGCTGGAGAGATGACTCAGAGGTTAAGAACACTGGCTGTTCTTGTAGAAGACCCCAGTTCAAATCTGAGAACCCACATGGCAGCTAACAACTGTTCATAACTCCAGTTCCAGGGTATCTGATGCCCTCTTCTGATTTCTGTGGGCATTGCACAACACTGGTGCACTTACATACATGCAGGCAATACATGCATACACATAAAAATAATAAATAAAATATTTTTTAAAACCTGCTTGCTTGGTTAGCATATATGAGGCAGAGAGAGAGAGAGAGAGAGAGAGAGAGAGAGAGAGAGAGAGAGATATAATTTTTTTATCCCAGCATTCAGGCAAATTTCTGTGCATTCAAGGCTAGCCTGGTCTACACAGTAAGTTCTAGGACAGCCAGGGTTACATAGAAAGAGACCTTGTCTCAAAATAAATAAATGGGGGTTGGAGAGATGGCTCAGTGGTTAAGAACACTTGGCTGCTCTTGCAGAGGACCCAGGTTTGGGTCTCAGCACTCACATGGCAGCTAACAACCATGCGTAACTCCAGTTCCAGGGGATACAATGCCCTCTTCTGGCCTCTAAAAGCATTACACAACATGGGTGCACTTGCATGTTCACAAAACACTCATACAATAAAAATAAATAAATATGAACTATAATTTATAATAAGTGTTTTTAAATCTCCAAACCTTTCTTTCTTACATAGATTACTTTATGGATGGAATTACTGAAAAACATTAATTGATATAATGATATTAATGAACTTTCAAGAGATTAGAAACTTATCTGGGTGTTCATTAATGTATTGCTTTACATTTGGCCTTTGTAAGTGCTTCCAGACATACTGTAATGGGTAGAAACATATGGCATGCTAAGTTACAGAATGACTGAAGTGGCCTAAATGCAAATGAGTCTAAAGGGTAGGTCTCGTTTTATTGTTTGAATTTTAAAAAATCATTAATTTCCATACTTTAAGGAAACAAAACTATATTATTTTATCATGTATCAAAATGAAGATTTTTGAAATTAAAATTCTGTTCCTTAATAATTTAAGAATTCTTTTTTATCCTTTTTGAGTTTTCCAGCTTTATTTTCTTGCTCTATGTTAGGAAACCCAAATTGAAGATTGCTACATATTGAAAAGGTTGAATTTGCTTCCTTTGTCTTAATGATTACTTCTCAGTCTATTTTCTATTTTAATCCTATTATATCGTGGTTTTTTTCCTACAGACTGGTGAATTTTCAGCTCGTTTCTTATTGAAGTTGCCAGTGGATTTCAGCAATATTCCCACATACCTTCTCAAGGTAAAAATATGTGATTATCAGTGAGAAAATATAAATAAATTTTAAATTAGTCATTTAACTCAATATTTGTATAACTGGCTTATCCACATTTTGTTCAGATGATAAATTCTACTAAAAGTGTTTAATACATGAAAATTCATTGAGTTATTTTGTTTCCTTTAGTTAAAGTACTAACCTCAAAACTCTAATCTTTAAACTTTAGACATGAGTTTTTCATATCAGGTAAAATTAATAATATAAGTGCCTGGGAAATCACTTTTGTTTGATAATTTTATTGAGATGAAAGATTTATAGAAGTTGTCTACTGCATTCTGTCTTTAAGTAGGATTGCATATTAACTATGCCTACTGAAGGGCATTTTGTCTTCTTTATGTCAACAGTTTAACTCAGGCACCTTCAAAGTTGGACCATCCCAGAGATTCATAATCTAGTTAGATCTGTGTATGTGGCATTCTTTAAAATGAGATGGAGACCTGGGGAGTGGCTCTTTGGAGGAGGGATTCATAAATGCTTTGCAGAGAAAAGGTAGGCTCCAAAAGACAGGGCCATGGTTAGTGAGGGAACCCAAGTAGACCAAAGAGCAGGTTCTGAAAGGAAACTCTTCTAAGCCAGAGGCCCAGGTTCATCTCAGATAAGTATTTCGTTTATGATTTAACATTTGGCTAACTGCCCTCAGCCCTTGTTTCAACTTGTGGCGAAAATTTGTGCCTTCTTAATTTGATGTTGTTCAGAGAGCTGATTGTATTTATAACTACTGAGAGAAGACAGAATCCATGTCCAACTTTCCCTGGACGTTACAGAGATTAATAATGTTAGATATGCTCTTGATGGTGGTTGGAAGTCTGTTTTGGTAGAATATAGACTGAAACCATAGGGAAGACCGGGTAAGTTAAAAATCCTTTAGTTCTCTGGTTTGTTTGCTCTTTGGAGACAGGTCTCACTATGCAGCCCTGGCTGGCCTGGAACTCACGGCTGACCTCATACGGAGATCTGCTTGCCTCTGCCTCTCTAGTGCTGGGATTATTGTGTGTGTTACTATACCTAGCTACTCATTCCTATTAAGACAAAAAATATTTTCTTTTCCTCTAAATAAATTTTTTTGGCTAATTAAATTTTATTTTTGGTTTCTACTTGACTAGTTTTCTACTCTATATCCAGTTGTTGTGAAGTTCAAGAGAGACTTGAGGTCAGCATTTTATATCAGTTTCTCTATAACCTTGTGGTGGGAAATAAACCCATTATCTCCATCATTACCATGCTGAGTTAACTTGTTTGCAGTAATCATTGTATTCTATTATTGCAGCAGGCAGTCTCCTTAGAAACTCTTCAAACACATGCTCAGTGGCTTCGTTCTTATACTCCATATATCTCTCCTTCAGCTCAGTTTAAACCAAATTCAACAGTGTATATGATAACACATATGATCACATTTAACCAAAATTTAGCTAATGTACTTTTGATTTGTTGGACCTTGTCCTTTGGGTAGTTTTTCTACCTGATATTAATCTTGTCAGTGCTCATGTAGGTGAAAGCTAAGCTAATATTTTTCCTCTTTGATTCTAAATTCATGTATTCTCTGTTTTAAAAATTCTTATTTTGTTATACTTGGAGTTTCATTTCCAGTCAAATAAAAGAACAGTGGACCATATTAACCCAAATTGTGAAGTTTTTTATTTCCTCCCCAAATTACTACAAAGTAATTTCTCTCCTATAGATAAAATGCCCGTGTGTCTTTCTGGATCTTCAGCTCATGCAAAGAAGGGAAAACAAGGGCAAAAAAGGAGAAAGCTTGTGTGACCCAAAACACTGACAAAACAAATGAATGAAGTCCACACAGAGCAAACAAACAAATACAACCCCACAACATGCCATGCACAGTGCAGAGTACATGTTGTGACTTTTCAGACCTGTTATATCAGAACCTCGGAACATTTGCCTATGCTTTTTAGAGAATGTTTGAAGTAGGAACTCCTTGGCATGTTACTAGGTTTTGGATGCTGTCTCCCTAATTGCTAGGCCTGTAATTATTGGCATAAGTACAAAAATAAAATGAACTTATCCAATTCTTAGGGTTAGGGAGGGTACTCTTTGTTAGAATTAAAGCAAGTTACCTCACTTTGCCTAGCAATTAAATGGTAAAGTAGAACTTTTATATACTGAGAGTATATATATATGGAGTCTGACTACAGCAAGCATCTGTTGATTTGCTGCAGTGGAATGTCATTGCACCATAGTAACTCTCCATCCGCTCCTAAATTCATTATACCACTTTTACTTACTAATGGGATTCTTTGATGTTAAAATAAAAAAATTAATGAATATTCAATGATATGATTTTGCTTCATGAGTATATATTGTTCTTACACAGGGTGAAGTAAATTTAAAGTGATTTATCCTGAAAATGAAGCCTGCCTTAAGACTCTGAATTTATTTTTGGCTGAGCTAAGTTCAGGGCTTGGACAGATAAATCACCTGTGTGAAAACTCAGTAGAAAAAAAATTCTATATTCATTAATCTTTATTGCAGGTGATAGAAATTCAGCACAAACTTTATGTAAACCAAATGGGACATGTAAAAATCTTCTGCTCCCATTGTTTACGTAACAGGAAACAGACCCTATTTTTTTCATATCAGGCAGACTGACCTTCCCAAGTCTGTTCCTTTTGGGTTCAGTTACACATCCCAACTAATGCATTTGTAGGGAGAAGTTGGTTCACAGAATATAAAAGAGATCACTGAAATGATACAGGTGTAAATATTCACTGCGATATTTTTCCAAAGAAAGATTATTTTATAGTTGTATACAGTTGACCCTCCAGATTCATAGGTACTATGTCCCTAGGTTCTGAATTCATTAATTTAGCCAATCACAGATGGAAATTATTTGGAAAAAAATTGCATCTCTACTGAATGTGTACAGATTTTCTTTTTTAAAAAAAGTATTTTTATTTTATGTGTATACGTGCATTACCTGCATGTAGGTAAGTACACCCATGTCATGCAATGCCCATGGAAGACAGAGGAGGCTGTCGGATCCCCTGGAACTGGAGTTACAGACAGTAGACAGTTAGTTGTTAGCTGCCACGTGGGTGCTGGGATTCGAACCTGGGTCTTCTGCAAGAACAGTCAGTGTTCTTAACCACTGAGCCATCTCTCCAGCCCCCGAATGTGTACAGATTTTCTTATTCTTTTTATTATTCCCTAAATAATATGGTATAATAATTATTTACATTGCATTTATTAGATATTTAAAGTGTATCAGAGGATGCACATTGGTTATATGCAAATACTATGCCATTTTATATGAAGAACTTAAGCATTGTGCAGATTTTGGCACCCAAGAGAAGTCCTGGAACCAATCCCCCATGGATACCCAGGGATGACTGCATGTTCTCATAAGGAAGAGTTAATAATTAGAAGATATTGCTTTTAATTTTGTTAGAGTGAAAACTGCCTTATCTATTTCCATCTTTATTTTTTATTCTGCAAATTACCTAACCTAACAATATAATAAAGCATTGTCTTTTTTCCTTTCTTTCGTTTTCCTAAAAGCCATGTTCCATAGTGAGAGAAAAGAAACGATTCTAATTTGTCTGCTAAAATTTTTATCATTTGAATAAGAAATACTTAGAAACTACAAATATGTTATAAGCAAGGGTAGAAGCTTGTAGACATGATATGTATTTGAATCAATTTTTAAGATAATCAGCTAGTTTTATACAGAGTGAAGTTAAGATCCTGGTATTAGGAATCTGCTCAGTGGTGTTGTATAAAATGTATAGGGAAATTTCTGGATCTCACTGGACTGGAGATTTAAGCAGCAATTATTTCCTGTTGGTAGTACATAAACATCTTTGGTGGCTAAGAAAAGATCACATTGTCTATGCTGTCTCTCCACTATGTAGGGTTAGGCTCTAGCCCAGGCCAGACCAGAAGCAGTGCCATCACAATTTACATGACTGAAGTACTTGGACTTCTAGTTTCTGCAATAATCTCACTGGTGTTGTTTTCCATGACATAGTAAGACCATTCATTCATCCTAATGAAATGCTTGCTGAAATTTAGTTCCCCTATGGAATCCAAATTATGACCCTATATGAAAATGAATTATGGGTAGAAAATCTAAATCATCTGCCAGGAGATGAGGCAGTCATCTTTCTTCTGAAGCCACCCATTGTGGCTGTCTGATCAGTCAGGGCATACAGTGAAAAGCACAGTTCACTTTGCCAAGCAGAGCAAGAAAGCAGAAATGAAGGTCAGCTTATCAGGACATGTTCAAGAGCTCTAGGGCAGGCAGAAAGTTGTAGTGAGTATCCAAGTTGGCCACTAATGGGTGGAAAGCATTGCAGGGTCCCTGTGGGCTGAGATTATCTGATTGATACAGGAGCAGCTCCCTCAGCCTGACCTTGGTTAGCAGGTTAAATACTTGCACTTAGTCTGCTTTCAGTCATACTTAGATTAGCAAATGCTCTGGGGGCCGGCAGGTCCTTGGAAAAGTGATGTCATAAAGCAGGGTATGGTGAAAACAGTACTGAACTAGCAAGTGCGTGCTTCATCTAGAGCACCAACTGCTGTACAGCTGTATTGTTTTCATGTAGGAATAGGGGTCTGCTGTGCCAGATATGTAGATGTTTGTATACAGAGCCTAGAACCTCAGGGTTTTAGTTTTTTGAATGAAAAATGCCTGCCTTATAAGTGATAGCAATAATAAATTTAATGCCTTTTCCTTCTTTTTATTGTGTGTGTGTGTGTGTGTGTGTGTGTGTGTGTGTGTGCGTGCATGCCAAGACATGCCTGTGGAAGTTGGAGGACAGCTTGCAGTAGTCATTTATCTCCTACCATTTGGGTCTCTGGGATTGAACTCAGGTCATCTGGCTTATTGGCTAGCATGTTTACCCATTGAGCCACTTTGCTGGCCCAGTGAATACTCACAAAGCACTATGGAGGCCAAATGAAGGAGCTCTTCATGTTGGCCCTGGCCAATGGATTGCTCTAAAGCC